CTTCGAGGCAGCGACTTCAGGAGGTACGCCGACCCTCTTCGGAACGAGTTCCTCTGCGTTTGGAGGCGGATCAACCTCTGCGTTCGGCGCACCAGCGTCCACCTCTGCCTTTGGGAAGCCCTCAGGGTTCGGGGCATTCGCGGGCGCCCCGTCCGCTTTCGGCTCCGGTAGTACAACAAGTTCGGCATTCGGCCAGTCGTCGTTTGGCCAGTCAGCCTTTGGACAGCCTGCGAGCGGGTCCGCATTCGGTGGCGGCGGCGCGTCTGCGTTCGGCCAACCGTCGGGCGGCGCAACAACATCAGCGTTCGGCACACCTGCCGGTGGCGCGACGACCTCAGCCTTCGGCCAACCCGCGCAAACCACGTCTGCTTTCGGCCAACCGACGGCGGGTGCCACCCCCTCTGCGTTCGGGCAGCCAGCGCAAGGGGGTGCGACATCCGCGTTCGGGCAACCGGCCCAAGGCGCGACAACTTCTGCGTTTGGGCAGCCAGCGCAGGGTTCAACGACATCTGCGTTCGGGCAACCAGCTTCGGGTGCAACGCCTTCAGCTTTTGGTCAGCCTGCACAGGGCTCCACGACCTCAGCATTCGGGCAGACTTCTTCAACACCAGCCTTCGGACAAAGTGCCTTCGGTACACCAGCAGCAGCCGGTTCTACTTCCGCGTTTGGCACTCCAGCAGGGGGTGCAACCACGTCAGCCTTTGGTCAGGCATCACAAGCTACGTCCGCTTTCGGCCAGCCCGCGCAGGGCGCAAGCACGTCAGCGTTCGGCAAACCTGCGCAGGGTACAACACCTTCCGCCTTCGGCACGCCACAAAGCACATCCGCGTTCGGCCAGTCGTCCTTTGGCCAGAGTGCCTTCGGGAAGCCCGCCACACCCTCTGCATTCGGCTCAGCATCAACAGGCAGCGGTGGCGGCGGCGCCTTCTCCGCGTTCGCCAACACATCGGGTTCGAGCAATAGTACAACGCCCGCCGCCGGCAGCAGTGGTGGTGGCGGGGCGTTCTCTGCGTTCGCGGGCGCACAACCATCTGCGTTCGGGATGGCCGCCGCCGCCAAGGCTCCTGGCGGATCAGTGTTCGGCCAGTCCGCGTTTGGGGGTACGTCGAGTAACGCCGCCTCGTCTGGAACTCCATCCGCCTTTGGGAACACGTCCGCTACCACGCCCTCCGCGTTCGGAAACACGTCCACGGGCTCTGCGTTCGGGTCCCAGTCCGCCTTCGGCACCTCGAGCGCGTTTGGGTCTTCATCACAGCCAGCACCCACTCAGTCAGCTTTTGGTGCACCACAATCCTCCGTCGCATCGGTACAATCCGCCTTCGGCACGCCCGCGAACGCCAGCGCACCGACCACCTCCGTCTTTGGCTCGCTAACGAACCAACCTGCCTCCGCACCCGTCTCCGCCTTTGGCCAGTCTACCTCTACGTCCTTCTTCGGCGGCCAAAACGCTCCCCCGTCTACGTCCGCGGCGCCCCCGAAGGAGAAGGCGTCGGGGAAGCCGGACTTCGCAGCGGGCCGCGCGCGTGCGCACGCCCTGTACCGGCCAGGCGCGACAAAGTACGACGAGCTGCTGCCGGAGAACTACATGGCGCTGCTGCCGAAGACGGCGTTGGACGCGTTCAGCGCGGATAGCGACCGCTTCGACTGGGCGAACATCCCCGAGTGGATCCCGCCGAAGGAGCTGCGGTAGGCACGCGCCACACGGGGGCGGGGTCGGGGACGGGGTCTTGGCCGACGGGCTCGGGCAGTCGGGCAGTTAGGCCCCTTGTCGTGCGCGAGGAGGTGATGGGAGAGGTTACGGACTGTGATCGTTGCATTCTTCTGTGTGTACACGTAGCTGATCGATTTCCCGCAATTCAGTTTTTGATAAAACACTACCCATACGACTATGTCCCTCAACTCGGATCGGACCGTTTTGAGCAAGTGCGAATCGCGACGGGCTCATCGGGCCCGGCCCTGCGATCAAAGGGGCACATAGGCCCAAATAAAGTCAAACACCGCCGCTAAGCGCAGCAGCAACGATCTGTTCCGAGCGCGTAAGTACTGGCCACACACACACTGCCCCTCAATACTTTCAATCACGGCAATCGGGTGCTGGAACGACCGGATGTCGCGTTGGCGGCCTCTGTTTACCGATGCCCGCGAACCCACCGTTACCCGAGCCTCCAACACTATTGACCACAATTGAAGTGCACCGCCTCCACCACTGTGCCACCGGCACTGCTCGAATCTGGAAACGGCACTGCTAGGGCACTGGCGCCGCCGCGACGGTCGCGGTCCGAGAAGTTAGGCAGCTCACCGTCTCGACGACGGCACTGGACAGTACGTTGGGGGCTGACATGTGTTTCCGCCGCGGTGCCCCTCATGCTGACGCACCGCGCGCTGCGCGGCGAAGCGGCTCGTCACTGACGCTGCTCGCAGACTCACCGGCAGTCAAACGTGCACCCGTCGCGGGCCTGTCACCGGTGCACAGCGCGACCATCCACGCAATCACCCACCACCGTTGGGAGTTGGGAGGTGACAGGTGCTGCCAGCCCGCGCGCCGTGTCAGGGACAGTGCCAGTCACGATGCTGCAGCCGGGCAGGCACGCTGGCAATGTGGCATGCAGCGCTCTACGGTGAAGAGCTGAAACGCACGGCGCGATCCGGGCGAGATCTGACGGCGCACGAGAGATCTTGCGGACTCCAGTGTGGGCCACGTCAAGCGTTCGCTCAGCATGGCGTGCACCGCCGCCGCCGGTTGCCTATTCAGTGACCGGGAAGACCGGGGTGACCCATCGGGTCGACCCTGCATCGCTGAGCGACAATGTGTAGCTCCGAGCCGCGCCCACCGTGAAGATTCTAGCTCCGGCCCAGGCAGCTGTTTGGCGGTCGCGAAGAGACCGCGCCGCTGCTTATGGCTCTCATCCCTCCGTAAGCGGGACGTCAATGCGGGGGCGAATGAGGATCCGCGGATGACCTCAGGGATGACATTGGTGAGTGCCTCAGTCTATATTTTGGCATACGAAGACTTGACCGAAGCCTGGGCCCTGACGACGATAGTTTGCCGGATGCCGGCCCCCGCAAGCGCGGTGAATGGCAAGATGTCACTACCTGTCGGTGTACTTTGCCTGCGGTCCACTGCCGCTGAAGCGGGACAACACTATTGCGCTAGGCCCCTTGAGAACGAGAACAATAGACGGGTCGGTTCATCACTGCAATGACACCCGAGGTCCATGGATCACGTCGCCGCGGGACTGTATTCGGCCAACGCGGTGAGCGCAGCCACCATAGTCAATGCTCGCAAGACGTTCATACAAACAACAGTACATGTCAACATTGTCCGGGTGATGTGTCGTGACTTTCCTTCTTATGCCTGTGCCTTCCACCTCCTTCAATCTAGACTTGTCTCCGCCCTGCTAGTTCCAGGCAAAGACCGGCGATGATCGTTTCAGCCGCTCATTGCGGGCGCACCCAGGGAAGAGGCTTGGACAGGTCGATGTTCCCGCCGCTGATGATGATCCCAATGGGGCCCTGGATGCCTAGCTCCTGGAACTGGGCACTCCGGACGGCGGCGAAGGACGCAGCGCCGCTCGGTTCTACGACCAGCTTCATCCGCTCCCACATGAGCCGCATCGCGTCCACGATTTCCTGAGAAGTGGCGTGTCAGCCACAAGCATGACGCATAGGGCCACCGCCAGAAGGCGGCGGTTGAAGTAACGCCGCGACGCCGTACCTCGTCGGTGACCGTGATGACCCGCTCGACCTTCTCCTGGATGATCGGGAAGTTGAGCAACCCGACGGGCGTCCTCAGTCCATCCGCGATGGTGTTCGCCTGTACGTCCGGCCGCCTCTTTCCCTCCTTCAAGCCCTGTGCACAGTCGTCCGCGCCCGCCGGTTCAGCGCCAAAGACACGCACTCCCGTGCCCTCCGCCGCAAGCGAAGTACCCGCGAGGAGCCCGCCCCCGCCAACGGGCGCGATGACGGCCGCAAGCGGTTCCTCAGTCTGCTCAAGCAGCTCGAGCAGCGCAGTTCCCTGGCCAAGGATCGTGTTCACAGCATCATACGGCGGGACAAACGTCGCCCCGGTCTCCTCTTGGACCTTGGCGAGCGCGGCCGCCCGCGCGGGCGCGTTCGGCTCGCAGAACGTGATCGAGGCACCGTACGAGCGCACAGCGTCGATCTTCGGCTGGGCCGAGTTGTTGGGCTGTGTGGGCGGAGGTGGGCACGCCGGAGGGCGGTGGCGAGACAAGGATCATCGTCTGGGCGGGCCTGCTGTCACTGGTGGAGGCACGTACCATGACCACATAGCACTTGACGCCGCGCTCTTTCGCGGCGAGGGCAAGGGCTCCGGCATGGTTGCCTACCGGACATCGTCAGAACCCAAGTATGTACGCAGTTCTATCTGCGCTGTGGACAAATGGCCATGCGAGGAAGAGAACCGCGTACCAGAGCTATGCGTACAGACGCCGCGCGCGAGTTCCTGCGCAGACAGCCGTGACAGGCTGTAGCTGGCGCCCCGGAACTTGAACGCACCGCCCTTCTGCAAGTTTTCCGCCTTGAAATAGAGGGTGTTCTTCCCTGGCAGAGACGCTGACAGGGACGAGGACGTGAATGCGGGCGTCCGGTGGATTTTGTCCTTGATCGCCTCGTGCGCGGCGACGACCGACGCGCGAGTAAGTAGCAGAGGCGATGCAGTAGAGTCGTGAGTCACTTCATCGGCCGACATCCTGCAACTTAACCTTCCTGGTGGGCTGAGGAGAGATGTGAGTGGTTTGCTGGTGGTCACTTATCGATGGGCCATCGAAGATCCGGCCAGTTGACTCACCGTGACCATGGTGGCGGGCTCTACGAAGAAGCTTACGTGAAACTGCGCCGGCTGTCGAGTAGCCAAGTATACGACCATCTCCATGTCCGGCGCACATACTACCGGTTATCGTCAAGCGCAATAGATTGAAACATGACTGGCGGCAATGACGTTCACTTTGAGTGGATTCAGGGGCTGAGCAAGGAAAAAAAGATTCCCACTAGCCGACTTGAACGACTGACCTCGTCATATCTTACTAGTGACGCGCTCTACCAGCTGAGCTAAGCGGGAGTTATTAGTCATTTTTTGTGCAACAATATATAGCGCAACGTTTCTGCTGCCACGATGTGCAGAACGCAACGCCCACTCTGCGCAGTCTTCGTTTGACCACCGCCTCCTCGCTAGTCTGCAGCGTAATGTGGGGGGTTGAGGGGAGGTCCCCGATTCTCAATGCCGAGTGATGGCCGTAAACTCCGCTGTCCTCTCATTGGTCATCTGCCAGAGCGCCATCAATCCTCCTCGTGGCAATGCGTCAAGCGCTCGTGTCCAGTAAAGGCCGAGGGAACCCCCAAGAGGACCTTCTGCATCGTAAAAGGTCTGAGCGAGGACATTAAGGCCTCAGGAGTCTACATATCTGATTTTTGCTACCGTGCAATGCAAAAATTGTGCACAAGGTCGTGCATTGCGGTCTAACGACGGGAGGGCATTTGCTACGGGCGCTACGCGGAGTTTGAACCGCTCAAGAATTGGCGACCTCCTGCGAAAGGGTCAGATTACGTAGCAGACGTTCGTTGTGCTTGCACAACGGACGTCTGCCTAGGGGAGACTACCTCCTCGCACTTTACTTAGGCTAACTGCTCCGACCTACTCCCTATCCCCGAGGCTCGCTACTTTAGCACTCGTTCAACATCTGAAACTGTAACTGCGGCGAGCACTGCACTGGACGCGACGATGACTTTTCACAACTCCGGTTCAAGCAACTAGTCACGACTAGGTTCTACGGTTGAGGTACCCGCCGGCGCTGCGCAAAACTGGTCGAAAGCGTAACAGGACGCGGTGTTAACACTCCATTGTACGACGTGTCTGGCGATGCACCATCTCAGATGGGGAGAACACCGCATCCCCCACCCCGCGATTCCCGGCCTGTGCCCCCTCGACCGCTCTCGCCAGCAAGGACCCCATCGCTGGGCGTGTTTCGGCTGGATCATCCTCACGCAGTACCGTCCTGTGTCTGTGCGTGATGCTCATATCGGCTGGGATCTTGACGGCCGAGGTGCACAATATGTGCGAACTGGGAGCAAAGCGCTGCACGCGATGCGGCGGGGCCTGCGCGCAACTTGGCATTGGAGACGGATACGAGGGCAGCGGTCGCGTCCGGGTAAGTACTGCTTGCCTGCTGAACAGGCTCGGCTGCTAACGCCGCGCGCAGCTGTACGGGTTACAGCATGCGTTGTCGTCTCATACGCGTCAATGCCTCGGGCGCCCCGTCGGTACGTGCCTAGCATAATGAACGCACCCAAAGTGAGGTGCCGCTCGCTTTGCACCATCGCGGTCGAGTAGGAATCGGGAAACGGCTGACGAAGAGTCAGGGACAGGCTCCACAGTAGAATATCGCTATGTCATCCATTCACTCTGCAATCAAAACCCCCTTGGGGAAGCAGATATGACGCAGGACCTCGGCGAGACTGGCAACTGCCCGAATTACAGGTTGATGAAGGCACGGAGCGCTCCCGCGATTGGCATACAGATGCCGGTGGTCCCTTGTTCGAGACCTATCACGCCTTGACCGCTGCCCACAGCACGTCGTGCAATGATCACAAACAGGCTCGCACACGAATACGAGATGGCATGCTGACTGTGTCGCTGTGGCACACGGACGTGCTTCTTCGGTGAGTTGCGAGCACCCACACGAACTCTACCGTGCGCGCACGCTGACGACACCCGTTGTTATCAGGCAAATGCAGTACTGCGGCGCGTCGACAGCTCGAGTGGTACACGTCTGCACACGCCAACCGTCAACCAGGAATACATTCTGTCGGGTGCGTCTGCATCCATCCACGAACCGGCCGGGCCTGGTCCGTTCGGCCCCTGCAGCCCGATCCGCGGCCGACTGCATCCTTGGACGCGGTGTATGGGGCCGTAGGGAGAAGCTCTGCCCATCTGGGCACCCAATCGCTATGACACCCGGTCAGTGCTCGTGCGATGGCGGCGTTCAGCGAGCGTGTATGCGGCGAGCTGCCACCGACGCGCAGGGCCGGGGTGTCGTGCAACGCATGCAGTCCGTCGTCGCGTTTTAATGCGCGTCGCCCGACTGGGAGAGTCGACTGCCGTAGTCGTGTGCGTATGTGACAGCGGACACGCGCAGCGCCCGCCACGGCCGGACTCGGCCCGGTCGATGGCTACGGCGCATTTGCCCCCGTATGCGCCTCCGCGTGGACGACCGCAGCGCCCTTGTACGCACTCCGGGGACGTCGTCGGTTTGGACAGAATCTACACGTCCTGCGCCCTGACGCGACACCGCAAAGTGCGTAAATGTTGGGAAGTGGCTTACATCAGCGCCCGAGAGCGGCCTCGTGGAGGTACCGCCCCCGGGACGTGGTTGGGCCTTTGGAGGTCCTCCCTCCGTGGCTGATGGGACGCCGGGTGGAATAAGGTCGAGGTTCGGGAGCGGGACGTTACGCGAGCTCTGGACGAGCAACAGTCAGACACAGCTTCGGACTCGAGCACGGAAGATGGTTTGGGTGACTCGCGCTCGCAGACGGGTGTGTCATCCGGGTCCAAATACAGCAGCAGCATCGCTGAGGCGGCGTCAAACGTCGATGGGAACTGCTAGACGAGCATGCATCGCGACTCGGGACGGCGATGGGCGGAAGTGACAGGCGTGCGTGCTGCTGTCTGCCCTGGGCGCGAGCGCAACGCGTCGAGTGCGCCCTTGTCGGGCGGCGGCGGAAGACATGGACGAGCACACTCGGAGTGCTTTTGGAGTTCGAACTGTTGTGGGAGATGCGGAGGAAGCACCGCCATTGTGAGTCATCGGAGCGCCAATCTGAGGAGGGTTGTTTCGGGAAGAAGGGCAGGGCGAGGACGAGGACAGGCGCCAGAGATCGCTCCGAGCCCGCCGCAGAGTGCGAGCCAGAGGAGCGGGTGCCATCAACCAGGCTGTATTCGCCACATCCTCGTATGCGTTTTGCAATCTCGACTCCCGCTGCGTTCCCAATCGCCAGATCCGGTCCAGTGCCCCCTCCTCCCGCGCATTCTATAAAGCCCCTGTCTGCTTGTCGCGTTCCCTCTCAGTCTTCTCTCTCGGGACACACACTCGTCCACTCACCCCTGTCTGCCACTACCACCACCTACCCCGCGTCGTCTGTACCAGCTCTACTCACCATGGGCGCCCTTCACCAAAAGATTTGGCTCATAACCGGTGCGTCATTGACCCCGTCTGCCGTCCTCGACGCCGTGAGCTGACTGCTTCGTTGTCGCCCTCAACCATAGGCACTTCGTCAGGCTTCGGCAAGCGCCTGGTTACTTCTGTACTCGCCCGCGGCGACTGTGTTATTGCCACCGCCCGCAACCTCGAGAAGCTCCGCGCGACGTTCCCCGCCGCCGAGCGTTCAAGGCTACACCTCATGCAGCTCGATGTCTCCGACAGCGAGGACACCGTCAAGCGGCGCATGAAGGAGGCCCTCGCCGTCTACGGCCGCGTTGACGTTCTCGTCAACAACGCCGGCTACGGCGTCAAGTCCGTGCTCGAGGAGGGAGGGTGAGTGCCTCGCTGCGCAATCTCTTCACCGACGTGTACTGACAGCCCGCTTCTCTTCCCCCCTCTCCGTCTGTCGATCAGGGCTCTTGCCGCGCTCACCCAATTCAACACGAACGTATTCGGCGTGCTGAACGTCACAAACGCCGTCCTGCCACACATGCGCGAGCGCCGCTCAGGCACCGTCGTCATCATCGGCAGCCGCTCCGCATGGCGGCCAGAGGTTTCGGTACGTCCACCTTCCATCCATATCCGCTTTTGCCACCTCGTTGACCGCCGTACCACCACGCAGCCCGCAGGCTTCTACGCCGCGTCCAAGGCCGCAGTACATGGTAAGCACCCTTCCAACCTCCTGCACCCGGCCATCACGCGCTAACGCGCCCTCTCCCTCCGCAGCAATCGGCGAGACGTACGCAAGCGAGCTCAAGCCATTCGGGATCCGGGTGCTCATCGTCGCCCCGGGTGCGTTCCGCACCGAGGGCGTGCACGCCTACCCCGCTACGATCAACACCCACGTCCCCGCGTACGACGCGGTACGGAACGCGGGCATGGCGCGCTTCGCGGCGCTCGCGGGGCACGAGCGCGGCGACCCCGCGCGCGCGATGGACCTCCTCGTCGACGTCGTGAAGGGCGAGGGCCGCGCAGCGGGCCGCGAGTGGCCGCTGTGGCTCGTGCTCGGGCGCGATGCGTACGCGGACGTGCGGGCGAAGACCAACCGGCTGTTGAAGACGATGGACGCGTGGGAGGACCTCGCGACCGACCTCGAGTTCCCCGAGTGCGAGCTCTAAGCCCTCAGGCCGAGTGCGCAGTACCCGCCATCCCACACCTCGGGCAGGGCCCGCCACGGTGGCCGGCACAGCAGTCGGTCTCAGCTGCGCGCGGGAGCGCGGCCGACTTTGACCTCGGACGCTTCGTTATTTATCACTATCACTATCTATCCCCGGCTACGCACGCAATATTGTTCACCGCCCTCCGCATCGCCATCATCATCACATTCCCCGCTCCCTTCCCCTTCCCCTATGCATCCCACATCCCATCTCAACATCCACTCTCGCACGCAATCACTGATTCGGACTCGGACTCTCTCTTGGACGCTCGCCAAAATACTCTAGTATATATTGTGCTACCCACAGTCGTAGTTAGTAGTCTCCGCATACCCCCCGCACACATTGTTCCATCTCGTTCTTGCTCAAGACTCGCTCGCACCACTGTATCCCCACCACCACGCATGTATCACCTCCCGGACTACGACAATTACATTATTCTCGGCGCCGTTGCTTATCGAGTATCCGTATATGACACACATGGGCTACGCCGTTCCCCTCAAAGCTACTAATTAGAAGGTGGCTTATGATTCCGCTTTAGCGCTACAAGATATCCAGAGCACCTCGGTTACTATAGTAAAAGTTCCCCGTCCCTCGGACGCCACCATGCATACATGAAGCTTGACGTGCCGTTTCCACATGTCCTCGTTCCTTTGCGTTTATGCCACTTCGGACACGGATCACTTTAGGTACTTCGATACGACAAGTGT